GTGGTTTTTGGCGAGGTCCCCGGCATGGCAGCATCCGGGATCGGGGGGCAGGCGAAGCCAATTGGCAGAGCATGGGTGCCGGTCTCGTTGGCCGGCTGCGGATTCGTCGAGTTCCTCGTCATAGCGAACAGGTGCCCGCCTCTGCTTCCAGCGCGTCTGCTGGAGGCAATTGGAGGAGTCGTGGACATGCGCCTCAACGTGATGATGGTGAACGCGCCCGAGGGTCAGGTCTCGAGGCCCCCGTATCGGCATCCCTCGGGCCACAGGTCGGTCAGCCTGATCTGGTGCGAGCCCGACGAGTTCTTCGTGGAGCCGAACGTCTCGGCGCGGCTGCCCGCGGAGTGCCGGAACTTCCGCATCCAGGACCGTGCGGGATCGGGCAGTGAAGAGTCGCGGGTAGGTCGCGAGAATTTGGGCCTTGAAGGGCCGGAGTGCTATATGTCTCCCCTCTCCTCCTCGGGCCCCAGGGGCCCGACGTTGGAGTCTCAAGAGACTTCCGAGAATAGGTTGGGAGGTGACAGCGGGTCGAAACTCCCCGGGTCCGTAGCTCCCCCGGCTCAAGATCCTCCCGACACCCTCTTCCGAGACCCTGAAGTGAGTTTTCAGCATGGCGGTGAGGCCGAGGAAGACAGCGCAGAAGTCTCGATCCCAGTCAGCGAGTCCGGCACGACGGTCATCGAGTCTCCCGACGCTCCACGAGGCCACTCCCATGGTCACCGAGGACAGCTGGGAGAAGCTCTCGGACGTGGCGCTGAACGAGGTGCTGGACGCCGAGGCTCTCACGGAGCTGGAGATCCAGCAGCTGAACGAGGGCCAGTTCAAGTTCGATCCGGCATCGGCTCGCTGGAGGTCAATGGGGCTCAAGCTTCTCGGTTGCGTGCGGACGTGCGAGGACATGCGCCTCCTGGGCGGGATGATCCCACATCTGCTCCAGGGAGCGGGCCCGGAGCCGATCGACCAGGCCACCTGTCCGCGCCCTCCATGGGCTCAGTGGTCCAGCGGCAACCAGTCGAGCTGGTGCACGTTCTGCTGGAGATGCGGACTGCGTCTTTGTCTACGTTCCAAGACCGACGAAGAGAAGGCCATGGCCCAGGTGAAGAAGCAGGTGAAGGCCAAAGCCAAGGAGATGCGCGCCCAGAGCAAGGCAGTGACGGCGGCGATGATGGCCCAGTACGAGCGGGACTTGATGGAGCAGGCTGGCGCGGACAGCGACCCGTGGACTCCAACGCCTCCACCAAAGCCTCCGCCACAGAAGACGCCCAAGGCGAGGAGTGCAGCGACGGAGAACCTCGACGAGGTCCCGGGCAATCTCTACGTTCCCACGGAAGTGGGATACATCCCCTACAAGGAACCGCCTCCAGACGCCCCGGTCAGCAAGAAGTACGCGCAGCAGGTGAAGGGGGCGGATGTCCGTCCAATGACGCAGAGCGAGATGATGCGCGCGCTGTCCGACATGAAGGTGTGCCTGGAGACGCAGCAGCGGTCCAACGAGCTGACCTGGCAGGGCGCGCGCAACCTGATCCGGGAGAACCGGGCCATGGCCGAGATGGCGGCCAACAGCAGCAGTGCCAGCGCAGCGCCACGGATGAACTCGGAGGACCTCGCGCAGCTGGCGCAGATGATGGTCTCGATCCAGAGCGGCGGAGGCGCAGCGCCGCCGCCAGCCTGAGGGCATCTGAGGCCCCAGGCCTGTCGGAAGCTCTAGAGAACCGGTCGCGCGAGCAGTCGAGGCCTATAGTCTCGGACAGAAGTTTTTCTGCGGGATATGGGGGTTTGGCGCGCCCGCGTCGGGGCCAGCACCAGCCCATCCGATTTCGATCCTGTGTTGGGGGTTTGGGACAGCACCGACCGCAGGTTTCTGGAGTCTCGGGACCTCGAGGAGCTTCTAGGATGGGAAAGGCACGAGCTGTCTCCCAGTGAGTGTAAGTTTTTATTTGTCGCTCTTGCCATGGAGGCGCGTGGGGGAGGGCCGCCAGCCGGTCTGTTTCCTCGAGGGGCTCGATGGGTCGAAATCAGCTCGGCCTCCAGGGATTTAAAGATGAGCTCTCCATGGCTGGGCGCGACCGCGTCTGAGACCAGGGGCGCGATAGAGTCCGCGAGAAGGGATCAGGGCAACCTTGCTAAGACTCTCGGAGTGTGCCGAGGGTCCGAGCCGGAGCCCCGCGTGAGCGTTTGGCAAGAAGAGTCTGCGTCCTCTACCTCTTCTCCCCTCCCTTCCTACGTCTCCCCCAGGGCCCCATCTTCGGAGCTCGACTCTCGCTTCAACTACGTGATCTCCGACCGCTTCGCGGCTGCCGCCTTAGAGGCCTCCGGGCCAAGAGATCGCGTCGGAGCGTCCATCCCGAGGAAGGTGAGGGAGGCGACGGCGCGGCTCTTAGAGGGCCAGGGCCTTAGATCCAGCAAGAAGCTTAGACGGCGCCAGGCCCTAGCGGCCGAGACCAAGCGGGCCGGGACCTTAGTTCTAGAACTGTTCTCGCCCTCGCGGGTATCTAAGGAGCTGGGGCGCCGAGGCTACGAGGTATCGCGCGCCTTCGACCTGCTGACGGGTGTGGATCTTAGTACTAAAGAGGGTCAGGAGTCCCTCTGGAGCACTCTCAAGAAGGATGAGCCCCTGCTGGTCCTCATGAGCCCTGAGTGTAAGGCGTTCAGTCAAGCCCGGGCTTCGACCTGGGACACCATGGACCCCCAGGCTAGGGAAGAGGTAGAGCAGCGAGGCCTCGAACACGTGGACCTCTGCGTTCGAGTCGCTCGATACCAAAAGCGGAAGGGACGTTATTTCTCGTTCGAGCATCCTGAGGGGGCCAGCTCGTGGGACTTGGGGCAAATACGGGAGTTGTTGGCCTGCGATGACGTGCACTCGGTAGTCGCAGACCAGTGCGAGTTCGGACTTTCCGTTGTTAAAGACGGCGGGCTCTCTCGTAAGAGGACCCGGCTCATGAGTAACTCAAGTTTGTTTATGTGCCGGTGCGCGCGTAAGTGTTCCGGGGCTCACTCACACGTGCATTTGGAAGGGAGCCACAGGACCAGACGGTCGCAGCAGTACCCCGACGAGCTCATCTCCACGATGGCCTCGGCCGCCGAGGAGGTAGCGTGGTGCCATCATCATCTGAGCGGATGGACGGGCTGGGGCAGTGAGCCCGAGTCTCCAGAGGCGCTAGAAGTCCCTTTTTCAGGACTCCCTGAACGGTCCTTTCCAGAGGCCGACCCTCCGGACGACGAGTCCGACGAAGAGGTCCCGGAGACCCTGCCCCGGGGACCAGCGGCACAGGCCCCCGTCGCCGATTCTAACACGGTTTCCCTGGATCCGGAGCTGCAGCGCGAAATCTACAAACTTCACGTCAACCTGGGACATCCAGCTTTGTCTGACTTTTTCCGGACTCTTCGGGTTGCCAGGGCCAGGACGGAAGTGCTCGAGTGGACCAAGCATCATTTCATGTGCGGGGCTTGCGACTCACATTCACGAGCGCATTGGCGTCGCCACGCGCACCTCCCGAGAACTTACGAGTTTAATAAGCTATATGCCCTAGACTTGTTCTACCTAGAGGTGGAGGGGATCAGTACTCCGGTGCTGAACGTTATATGTCATGGAACCAACTACCAGCAAGCCTGCCTCCTCCCTAATGATGCAGCTAAGGCTACGTGGAAGGGCTTCCTCCAGCTCTGGGTGAGGCCATTCGGCTTGCCCGAGGTGCTGATTTCTGATGGAGGCGGCGAGTTTGATCGTGAGTTTGCGAGAAGATGCGAGCATCTTGGTATTTTTCACCAAATAGTGCCGGCCAACTCTCCACATTATAACGGGCGCTGCGAACGTCACGGGGGCATCCTAAAAGACGTTGTGTCGAAGGCCTCGCTGTCCACCAGCCCCACCAGCCGAGATGAAGTGGAGGTTCTCCTGTGCGAGGCCGTAGCGGCCAAGAACAGCACGTATCATCGAGGGGGTTTCAGTCCGGTTCAGATGGTTCTGGGTAGGGCCCCGAGGGTGCCCCGGTCGCTGCTGTCTGACGACGAGTTGGACCTGGTTGGCTGCGAAGATGTGCTCGGAGGGACCTCTCAGCAGGAATCTGCCGCTGCGGAGTTTGCTCGACGTCAAGTTTTGCGCCAAGAGGCTCGCAAGGCCATGGCTGCCATGGATGCACGTTCTCGGCTGTCCGAGGCCAGCCGTGCTCGGCTTCACGCCGAAAGGTTTTTCAAGCCAGGGGAATGGGTGTACGTGTGGAGGAGGCTGACGGGTTCCAACCGATCTCACTCACTGCAGCGTGACAGGTGGACCTGTCCCGGGGCCGTGGTTTATCAAAGTAAAGGAACGGTGTGGGTGGCGATGAGAACCCGCTTACTCAAGTGCTCCGAGGAGCAAGTTAGACCTGCCACTCGTCAGGAGTCCCTCGGCGCTGAGTTGCTGGATTCGGCGCGTTTTGAGGTGTTACGCGAGCAGGTCAGGGCCCCGGGGCGTAAGACAGGGGCTGTTGACGTTGCGGCAGAGGGACCCCCTCCCCCTGGGGCCTGGGACGGGCCCGACGCTGGTGACCAGGCGGCGCCCAGCTCTGAAACGCGGGTCTTGAATCCCGCTGCCGCTGTCTCTGCGTCGACCCCAGCTGTTGCTCCCGCCTCGGCTCCTCGGACGACTGAGGTGCGCGCCGAGCCGCCGAGCCGAGATGAGACGCAGGTTCCTGAAGTGTCGGAGCCCTCGATGGCAAGGGCCACGAGCGGTTCAGACCCAGCGCCACCCGAGCTGGATTCTACCGCCTCTCGAGGGATCGCCAGACCCTTAGGTTCAGAGGACGTGGCGAGCCCGGCCGCCAGAGTGGCCACTATGGTTCGAGAAATCGAGAACGTTCGCGCTGCGAACGGAATGCCCCCGGGACCCTCTCCAGATCACCATCCATGTCACGTGTGGGGGCGAGTCCCTCGTTTGAGGTCGGTGTCGCTTCCGAGACCGTCCGCGAGACGGTATGCTCCTTTTCCCTCCTCTGGGTCTTCTCCTGCTGCCTCGTCCTCCTCCGCTCTCGTTCCCTCCGTTTCCCCCTCTACGGAGCTTCCGGAACATTTGCGTCGTGCGCTTGACGCTCCTGCCCCCCCCCCGCAACCTATGGACCTGGGAAGGCACGTGGTTCCGACAGCCCCGAGGGGAGACGGGGCCCTGGATGAGGCCCCTCCTGGAGGCCTGGACGAGATGGACGACTCCCAGGATGCTGAGCTCCTTGTTGAGCTGCAGCGTTGGTCAGCTATGAGGGGGGCCCCCGACGATTTAACTCTTTTCCAGGATTCCTCGGAGTCGGACGAGTTTTCAGGTACGGCCACGGTTTCAGGATCGGGAAAGCCATCCAACCCCAGGGGAGCTGAGGTGGTCATGAAGAATCTGACTCCAGAGGAGCGAGCTCAGTTTGCAGAATCTGACACCGCTGAGCGGGAAGCGATCCTGTCATCAGGCGCAGTGCGAGTGCTCTCTCCAGACGAGGCACGTCTGGCTCGCAGGCGCCATCCCGATCGAGTGTTATCGTCTCGCATGGTGCGTCGTTTTAAGCCGATGGAAGGGGTTGGAGCTAAGGCGAAGGCGAAGTCGCGCTGGTGTGTTCACGGACACCAGGACCCCGACGGCGAGCATCTGTCCGTGTACGCCCCGACGCCACAGACTGAGAGTATCCTCGTCACCTTGCAGGTTATCGCCTCGATGAACTGGGTTCTGAACATCGCTGATGCTAAGAACGCGTTTTGCCAGTCGAATCGTTTAGAGCGTCCGAATGGTGCAATCTATGTGGAACCCTGCTCCGGGCTCAGCCTGCCCGTGGGCTCCCTAATTGAGCTGGTCGCGCCGGTGTATGGCCTTAATGATGCTCCGTTGCTTTGGCACCGCACTCTTACGGATTTCCTGTCCTCGCTCGGTTTTGTCAAGTCTCTTTTAGAGCCTTGTCTCTGGCTGAAGAGGAGCAAGTTGGGAGGGCTGGAGGCCCTAGTGCTGATCGAGGTTGACGATCTCCTCCTGTCTGGCGAAGAGACCGTCATGAAGTCTCTGAAGCAGGCCCTCACGGATCGATTTAAGTTCGGGAAATGGAAGGAGCGCGAGGCCGATTACGCTGGACGGCGTCTCTGCCAGTTGCCCGATCGAATCGTCGTGGATCAAGAAAAGTACATTCGGGGGCAGCTTTCGACCATGTTCTTGGGGAAGGATCGTCGATCTCAGGTCGAGTCACCACTCACCCGGGAAGAGATCAGCTCTTACCGCACGGTGGCTGCGCAAGTTCAGTGGCTTGCACGTGAATCTCGCCCGGACGTTGCTGGTTCAGCTTCGTTGCTTGCGGCAGCCCTGCCCACACCTTGCGTGGCAGATGCGCTCGCACTGATCAAGGTCTGCAAGTTCCTGAGAGCCTCGCCTGAGCAGAGACTCGCGATCTGGAACTTGGATCCTGCTTCCGTCACTTTTGTTACTGCGAGCGATGCCGGCGGTCCCGGGAGTGCGCGTCGTGGTGGAGCCCAAGGGGCCTGGATCATCATGGCCGCGGATTCGATCATACGCGACAGCCGTCGCGCGCGTGTGAGTGTTTTAGCGTGGAGATCACTGCGCATCAAGAGAGCGATGTCCAGCACCGTGGCCGCCGAAACTCTGGCTTTGTCGGGTGCCACAGGAGAAGCTCAGTGGATTCAGGTGCTTTGGCGTGATGCTGTGTTCGGGGATGTTCCCAGGCCTGCTTGGTTTGACAACCAACGGCCTTTCACCGTGATGCTGGCCAGCGAATGCCAGCTAGGAGATGCGGCCTCAGGGCTGTCCGTGGTTGACGCTAAGTCTGTGTTTGACGTGCTGAGTCGAAACTCAGCAGTTCTCGGGCCGACAGAAGAAATGCTGTGGAGCTCGCGGTCATTCGAGATTCGCTCGCTTCGGTCGGCTCTCGTATGCGTTGGGTCCCGCACGCCAGAATGCCCTCAGATCCTCTCACCAAGTTGGATCCTTCCTCGGGTAATCATGCTCTAAGGGACCTCCTCTCGAAGGGCACCTTGGTGCTCGTGGACGAGCACGGACATCTGGACGAGCGATCGCTCAACGCAAGTTTGAAGTCGAGATCAAAAGGCGCCAGCCGAAAGATGCTGGCCGCCGCGGAGTCCGACGCTCCAGGGCTCGAGAGCCCTGTCTGGCTTTCCCTAGGGGGAGACGGTGACGTCTCGGTTTCCTTGACCCAGGAGAGCCGAGGGGCGGCTCTCTCGTACTGTTCTAGACCCTGTAAGGTGGTTTCGAGGCCCCGTGGAGCGGCGGCTGTGTCAGCGACGACGACGACGATGCCGCCTGGCCCGCAGACCCGCCCGCCCCAGACCTTGGAGGACCCCAAAGTTGTGGACGGGGCGCAGGGCAAGGCCGGGTACGGACGGAGGAAGGAGGGAGGAGGAGACCCGGGGGAAGAGACGGCGACTCGGGGGGAGCGCGGACAGCTTCAAGCCCGCGAGATTTTGGCCCGCTGTCCCCCCAATCCATGATTGGTTTCCCTCGTGTCTCTCGGGTCGGTTCCCTCCCCTCCCCTTCGTGCTTTAGCTGTGCCCAGCCTTTAGGCTCAGTGCCCGAGACGGATCTCTCTTCGCGCTGATATGATAACCTTCCCTCCTCACTCCTAGTCCCACCGCTCCCCATGTCCACCCATGGAGATGACACCGCCACTGTGACCAAGAAACGATGCGAAGCGAAACCGATGATCATGTCCGAATGCACATGATTGGCGGCACCCTGCCACTGGTGCGTCTATCTCAGCGAAACTTCTTGGCATAATGTCCGAAACTGGCGTGGCCGCCGCGCCGGGTCAAAATATGCCACTCGTTGGCGCACCGGCCTGTCCCAAAGCATGCTCGCGAGATGGAGCCCCAAGGAGCATGTGTTGATTGCTCAATGGCCGCAGGTTCGAATGGGGATTTCCCCAGGCATACGGGCCGACAGTATGTGCGTCGCAGAAGACAGATTGACCTAACCGGGCGTTGAAGCGCTGAGATCACCAAGACTGATGGTTGGCCCGCGCGGCGTTGTTTTCGAAGTCTGAACGTGCAGATGACTGAAGAATAGCGCCGCGTTTCGAAATCCTAGGCTTCGCGAGACAATCCTCATGGCTGGCGTGAAGCTTCGCGTGGCTGGCGGCTCTGTGGCCCTCATCAGCGCCTACGCGCCGCATTCCGGCCAGCTGCGGGCGTTCTGTTTGCTTTTCGTGTGTCCTTGTCTTTCTCCTTCTCGGCCTCGGAGGTCTCGGAGATCATGTTTTCCTCTCGTAATCCGTAGCATCTCGAAACAACACGAGAGCGGCATCGAGAGGGAGGTCGTTCGGGAGGAGCACTGCCCGAGCAACGACCTCGCCGATCGCGGTCGGCCAAGCTGCGGCAGGAGCAGGCACCACATACCCATCAAGGCCCAGCGGGAGCCCACACGACGCGGGAGGCCGACTGTGATTGATGTTGTTGTAGAAGACGGGCCGTGTCCAAACGGAGGAGGACACGGGCCCGTGCGCGGTCCGCGCAGACCCTCCGATGCGAAGCTTGCTCGTGCACGCGCCCCGCATACGGCTGAGCAGTGATATGACGAGGCTGCGCCGAGACACGCTGGCACCTGTCCCGAAAGACGGGCCGAAAGTACCTGGTAGCGGCACCCGAAGCCCCTCAAGCCGGGGCGGCGGCTAGGCGAACGGTGAGGGGGAAAGAGAACGGTGAGGGGGAAGGAGGAAGAGGAAACGGAGGATGACGAAGACGACCACGACGACGACACAGAGGTAGGAGGTGAAGGGAAAGAGGGAGGAGGGAATGGCAAACGCAGCGAGGAGGAGGGATAAAGGGCGGGAGGAAAGGAGCGAGGACGGATGGAGCAGGGAGGGCAAACGACGATAGCAACAACGGCGGCGGCGGCGACGGTCCCCAAATATCAGCGCGTTTCTCCACTTTGTCCTCCTCGCCGCGGCGGGCGATGGCGAAGTGACCGAGGCCGACCTGGCAACCGAAGAAGCTCCAACTCACCCGCCTCCCTCCAAGGTCCGTGAATCGAGGTTCGAGGGAAGGGGGCGAAGTTTCTGCTGCGTCTTGGCCCATGCTGGACCTCCGAGGCCTCCAGGAGCCTCCGGGGCCTCGGGGACCCCTGGGGGGCCTCCCTTCTCGATCTTCCCTTCCTCCTCCCACCATCTCGTTCCTCCCCCCTCTCCTGCCACTGCTCATTACCTTCTCTTCCGTGGCCATTTTGGATCTCGCTGGTTGACGGTTTGCTGTCGTGATTCGCTGGGTCTGCCCCTGGCTGGAACTGTTACATGACCGCCCCAGCAGCAGCGGTGACCTGTGAGCTTTTGAAGGAACATTCCCAACCACATCTCCCACCACAGTTGTGATTGGATATGGCGCCGCCTCGAGCGAACCTTGGTCTTGTGCAGTGGCCACCATGGCTGTGGCAAGAGGAGCACCACGGGAGCATTCGTAGAGAAGGGGGGAGTTCAGTGTACAGTAGCAGGACGCGAAGGGTAACAGAAGAGTAATTGCGATGCTGTGTTTGGTTGTGCTCCTCATGTGCGAGATGCTGTGCAACGTGGTGTATAGTATGTTATGCGTTGTGGTTGCCATCGAGCGACCGCCAACGATGCCCACTGGTCGCCCGCAACTCAGGCAATATACAGACATAAAGGTACAGGTGCTGTGAAAGCACAACTTTTGACCAGGTGAGCCAATATGCTGTGCGACACTAGTTTTGTTGTACATATCATAAACTGTTAAAAGGTGTTCGATGTGGTCTGGCGGTGGACCAAGAGGCCCCAAAAACGCCCCAATGATGGTCCAAGAGGGCCCCCGAGTGCCCCAAAAAGCCCAAACCTGATATATTCCTGAGATGCTTGACAAGATTTGGAGGTCTCGCCACTTCGGGCTCCCAACGCGCCAAGACGGCCCAGGAGGACTCCAAGATCCCCCCAAGACTGCGCAAGAGGCCTCCAGAGGGGGCAACAAGTCTGCCCAAGATAGCCCCAAGACGGCCCCTGAGGCCTCCGACGCGACGCAAGAGGGCCCAAAGAGGGGCTCAAAAGGAGAACGCGATCTGACAATTCGAGCCCTCCGCCCCGAGATAACGCCCTACACCGTTTGTAGGCCCCCAAGGAGCCCCAGGAGGACCCCAAGAGGCCCAAAGGAGGACCCCGAGAGGCCCAAAAGAGACCCACAGGCAATCCAAAATTGCATCCAAGAGGCATCCGAGAGGCTCCCCCAAGAGATCCCAATAGGCATCCAATACGCCTGTGACCTACAACCGAAGCGCAGTGGCAGGATGCGCTGACGACCAGTAGATCCGCCGCCCCCTTGTGGTTTATCACAGGGGCGCCTGGCGTGCTGGATCCTATCGATTTTGGTTTTGGTTCTTTCCCAAGAAAAACTCCCCCTGGTAAAATGAAGCCAGGATCGGGGCAAAGTTTGACTGGGATAAAAATCGTGCTCGGTTTTTCAAATCACCGGGAGCGCCGCCGAACGGGCCTGCCACGCCTCGGGAACCATCGGCTTCGCGAGGGAGGAAATGCGCCCCGGCGCGGATGAGGCCACGGCGCGCATTTGGCCACGCGCACGCCCGAGGGAATTCAGCGCCAAGCGCCTTTGCTCCATAAGACCCGACGTCAACAAAACAAACTTGAGGCCCCAAGGGGGCCCCAAAGAGGCGGACCGCCAGAACAATCACGCAACCAACGCAACGAAAAACACGTGCAAATATCAAAAAGCGCAGTACTCAGTGACCTCTTCGGCCACGCAACACCGCGATAATGCCCAAGAAGGCATTGGGAAAAGGGCCCGCGCGCGGCCTGGCGACTTCCCCGCGCCGCCCCAGGGTCGCCGAAGCGCGCCGAAATAACAATAGAGAAAACCCCGGAAAGTCTTTGGAAGGCCCCCGCGCCACGCAGTATCCGCCACCGAATAATCTCGCGGACACCTAGCGCGTGCGCGACGGCGTCCACCATGGATGCCCAACTCCAGTTTCGGAGACAATCGCGCGCAACCGCCCGGGGGCTTCGGCAACCTCGCGATTGGCCCAGGGGCCCGCGGGCCCCAGGGAATCGAGGACCGAGTTCGCACCTCCAGAAGCATCGGGCGCGGCGCCAGCCAGTCGCTCGTCTCTGGCTGACAGTAGCGCGCCTGGAGATCCGGTAAAACCCGAGGATCCGCTTTTCAGAGATTCAGAGAACCAGAAACTGGGGCGCGCCAAATCCTCGCGTCCGAACTTCTCTGAGAATCTCCGAAAATCCCTGAACTGACCACCCCGCGCGAAACGTTCCCATAAACCCAAAACCTCGGAGCTGGCCGAAACTCTCTGAAAGTTTCTCGGCCCGCGAAATTTGGCGCGCCCGGATTTCTGGTTCCGAGATTCTCTGAAATCGGCCTGCGGCGGCGCCCAGCAGGTCCTCGCGCGCCCAGGGTGGGGGCCGTGGACATCGCGGGCCGCGATGGTCCCGACCGCGAGGTCCTCCCTCCTGCCCCTCGACGAGTCCACGCTCATGGACACGCTCTTTGCGCTGAGCGTGGACCGCGCCATCTGCCGGTACTTCTGCGCGACGACAGCCAACTGGCCACCGACGGACAAGGCGATTCTTCTCCGAGCTGCGCGCGCCACCGAAAACGTACAATAGCCCCGGGCTCCGGGAGAAACACTTTCGAAGCATTTTCAGGCCGCCAGCGTCGCGGCTGCCGGCCCGCCGCGCGCCGACCGCGAGACTAGCTGGGCCCCCTGCGTCCACGGCGGCGGGCGGGCGCCCAAGAGAGCTGTCGCCGCGGCGCGCGCGGCGGGGCGCCCGCCCCACTGCAACCGCGCACGCGGCCTCCATGGCGCCACAGGCGTAATATGTGCGACGCGCTCTCGGGCCCCCCGTCAACGCGTCGGCCAGCGCCCAAGCCCCTGAAACGCAAACCTACTGCGCCCCCCGCGCAAGCCGCGCGCCCGCTCCCAATGCTCGTGCACGCCAGCTTTTCTGCCCGCCTTCAACGGTTTAATCGAGCGCCCATGTGTTACTTGGGCTCCACAAGCCCTCGAAAAGTCCATGGGGAACTTCTGCGAATGCGCGCGCTGAGCTCCACAATTCGGCGTTCTATTTGTCTCGGGAACTCTCCCAGAATCTCTGGTTCCGATTTGCCCCGATCTTCCGCTCAACTGACCTGGGGTTCCGGCGCGCCCCGCCGGCCACCCGGAGAGGCTCTCAAGGAGCTCAATTCCCAAATTGCTCGGTGAACACGGCCCAAGATGGACTCCAAGATGGCCACGTTGGCCCAAAATTGCCTCCAAGGCGGTCCAAGATGGCCTCCAAGTCCGCCCAAGATGATCCAAGACGGCCCCAGAAAGTCCAAGGCACCTCCAAGGTCGCCCGAGAAGCCTCCAAGACGGCCCGACACGACCCACGAGGCCTCTCAGAAGTCCTTCAGGAGGGCCCGAAGAGGCCAACATCATTTGCCCCCCCCCGGGTTTTTGAAGGATTTGGGAATTTGTTCCTCGGCACTCCGACGGCTCAAGACGGCTCAAGAGGCCCAAGATCGCCCCAAGATCGCCCGCGGGGCCGCCAAGATGACCCCAAGACGGCCCAAGGGGCCCCCAAGACGGCCGCAAGAGGGCCACAAGACAAGCCAAGAGGCCTCCAAGACGACCAAGATGGTCTCTAAGACGGCCCCAGAGCACCCCAAGCGGGCCCCAAGTCGGCCCAGAGAGGCCCCCAAGACGGCTTCCGACGGCGTCATGCGGGCCAGGGGCCCACCAAGATGGCCGAAGTTGGCTCTGGGCTAGCCCAAAACGGCCCAAGAGGCCTCCAAGAGGGCCCCGAGGAAGGCCAGAAGAGGCCCAAAATATTGATTGTCCGAAGGTTTTCGAAGGATCTTAACATATATATATATAAATATATATAAATATATATATATATTAATATATAATATATATATAATATATATATATATATCGAATATATATATATCAGAGTGAGGGCCGAACGGTCATTCACTGTCCCTGGGTGCGTGGCTGATGTGGAATTCCGCGGTGCGGATTCTTGTTGTTGTTGTTGTTGTTGTTGTTGTTGTTGTTGTTGTTGTTGTTGTTGTTGTTGTTGTTGTTGTTGTTGTTGTTGTTGTTGTTGTTGTTGTTGTTGTTGTTGTTGTTGTTGTTGTTGTTGTTGAACATTATTACTTCTAAAGAATAATTATTGTTGGGACCCCTGGTGCACGGCCCCCTCGCCGCGCCTAGGCCGCAGCCATGTTTTCATCATTTTCGAGCGAAAGCCTTTGACAAAACGATGTGATCCAAATCCGGTTGTTTTGTTACGGGCGGTTTTCCCTTGCAAAAAATAGCGCAAAGTGGACATTTCTTGTTCTAACATAACCAAACTTCAATAATCCCTTGCAAAAAAAGGTAAAGTGGACATTCGCGCGCGCGCAAGACGAAATCCTTCCAAAACCTTAGTTTTCGTAGCGATTTTAACATACAACATCAAAAAAACCACTGTTTTTTATAAAAAATGTCAAAATTTCATCCCGCGCGCTCTTGCGGATTCGTAGGAAACCCAACGTTTTTTAAACAGTTCTGTCAAACGGGTTTTTGCGAGCAACTTTTTCGAACTTCTGCAACCGCGGTTGCGCACCTGCCAGGGCCATCATCCCTGTCAAATAATACCATGCGGGACACATTCGTTTTTTCTTCGCGCGCGCACGCCGTCGTCGTCGGCCGCGGGGCCCTGAATAGTAGCCACGGTCGTCCGCATGCCACGAAGTGAAGTGTCCGAACGTCATAGGGCGGGAAGCTGGGTGTGGGTGGTGGCGAAGAGTCGTTTGGAAATTTGGTAGAGCTTGAACCGGCCCCCCCACAAAGTGGGGGTATTGCCCGCCTCCTATGAAAACCCTGGCACTGGTGAGAACGGAGTGTCCCCACGTGCTAATAATTGTTGTTGTTGTTGTTGTTGTTGTTGTCGTCGTCCCACCCGCAACCCGCCCCGCGACCCACC